GGGGAAGGGGCAGGGGGCCCGAGGCCCCGGGGCCCCCCCGCTGCCGCTGCTGCTCGGCCAGTGCCCGCTCCAGTGCCAGCAGTGCACTCCTCAGCGCTGCCTCCAGCACCAGCGTCCCCCGGCTCGACAGTGCTGCCGGGCACACACAGGGCGCTCAGACCCCTGGTGCCCTCACCAGTGCCCCCCACCATGGCCACGGGTGCCCCCAGCCCACCCAGTGCCCATGCCCTGATATCTCCGTGGTGGGAGTCAGGCTGGGCACGACCTGTCACCCGTTGGCATTGTGTAGGGTGACAGGCATGACTGTCACCTCCCCGGTGGGGTTGGCACACGGGCACATGGTGAGGGGAGGGTGTTTGCCCAGGCCCGTGTGTGCCTGCTGCATGTGGAGACCCTGTGAACACACATGTGCAAGCGTGGGCATGGAGCAGGGTGTGAGCGTGGGCAGGTGTGCCCCTGTGCGCCCATGCGTGGCCGTGTGCATGCACCTCCATGCACACCTGTGCCCACACTCTGGGTGCTCACCTGTGTGTGCCAGGGTCTGTGTGCTCGTGTCTGCACGTCCCTGCGTGTGCCCACGTGTGTGCAGTCCTGTGCGTGCCCTGTATGTGCATCCCCACGTGTGCCTGTACCTGTGCCCACCTGCACCCGCCCACAGCCGCCCTCCTGCTGGCCATGCCCTAGCAGAGGGTCCCCCGGGACTGGCACAGGTACCCGGGGCAGGAGGGAGAACTGGCGGCCGTGGGACACGAACCACACCGCTCCCTGCAACCCCAGTGTCCCAGAGTGCCACGGGCAGCATTTGCCACCCAGGCCAGGCAGCGTGGGCATGGGGGGCTTCGCCAGGGACCCGGGCATCCTGCTTGCGCTTCCCGCCCTTCCTGAGAGTGAACCCGGGAGTCCCGGCTCCTACAGCCACCCCATCTGCAGCCAAACCCTCCCACAAAGATGCCCCGTCCCCATGCCCCACTGACCTTGCAGGACGCCGGCTGGCATGGGGTACAGCCCCTGGCCCAGGGGGGCCCCCCCAGCCAGCTGCAGCAGCGGCAGCAGCGACAGCAGCACCGGGGGGACCAGGCGGACCCCGAGGAGAGCGCCCCGTGTCCTCTTCCCTCCTCGCTCCATCCCCGGGGCGGGCAAAGGGGGTCAGGAGGGGGGGAGCCCCCGAAATACCCGAGGCGGGCGAGGAGGATGGATATATACGGTGCCCCCTGGGCGGTGGGAGGAGAGAGGGGCCGGGGGAGCACAAACAGGCGAGTTCATTAATGTCGCGCCAAGATGCCAGCTCGGGGCGGGGGGCGCGGGGGGGGCGCAGCCGGGGCCTCAATGCCGCCTTTGTTCGACGGGGCCTCCGGGCGGGCAGCATCAGACGGGCGCTGCGCTCCGGCGCTGCCCGCGGCCCTTGATCATTTTCCCGCCAAGCCCTGGCCGCGCCCCCCTCCCT